GCATGGGACACTAAGCCAGGTTGTTTTGCTGTGAAGGACAATATTGGGAAAATGGGTGACACTTGGAAGAGTTGGAGAGTTAGATGACAGTCACGCAGCAGTGTCAATTTACTTACCTGGATAGTGACGTCATGGTTACGGAGGAGAATGTTCTGGTTTGTAGAAAGTACACACTAAGTACTCAGGTAGTGAGGGAGTCATATCGGCAATTTAACTCAAAAAATTTCAGGAAAAAATATGCTTTTTTACTATTGCAACTTTCTGCATGTTTGACATTGTCTCTAAATAAATAAGCAAATGGAAAGTTAACAAATGAAGGAGGAAAACACTAAATCCACTCTGAAGGAAGGAAAAGGTATGTCAGACCGGTCACATAGTAAAGGGATGATATCAAACGAAACAGACACAATACATTTTAAAAGCTCAAAATTTTCTTAGAAGATCATAACAGGGATCGTTTTAGAAATGTATACCTTCTAGGTTTCGAATGACCGGGTTTACTGTTATGATGAATCATAACGCAGGAGTGCTTTAAATCTCTTCCCATCACCAGGCAAAATTTCTCTCCCCTCAGTGAAGAACATGAGAGGTTATTTTAGAAAAATAGTTTAGTGTGTCTCTGGCCAGCCAGCTTTGCTCATGATGACTAAAGAATTAGAAACTGCTCTTTGTGAGGCCGGGGGTATGGAGTCACTTGTGCCATGAAACATAGGGGTGGCTTGGTTAACAGGCTCTAATCATTAGCAGGATCCAGAACAATGATTTCCTTTTAATGCTTGAGTGAAGTGTGGGAACTCCTGGGCAGTCAACCCTCAAAAGTATGCCTGACACTTTCAAACTAAGCCAGTTCTGCTCATCATTTAGTGGCAACGGCCTTTGATAAATTAAAACGTTTTACAAGAATTACATTAAAACTTTCCAAAAGTTTAAAATAAACATCTTACGGCCTTTGATAAATTAAAACGTTTTACAAGAATTACATTAAAACTTTCCAAAAGTTTAAAATAAACATCTTCTCTTGAAGAGGAGAGACATTGTTATCATCAATTAAAAAAAAAAAAAAAGAAAGAAACAGGGAGACAAAAGAAGAACTCTAAGAACCAAGTAAGTTAAAAATTTGTTTAATTTTATTTTTGAAAGAGAGAAAGAGAGAAGGGGAGGGGCAGAGAGAGAGGGAGACACAGAATCCAAAGCGGGCTCCAGGCTCCGAGCTGTCAGCACAGAGCCTAACGTGGAGCTTGAACCCGTAGACTGCAAGATAATACCCTGAGCTGAAGTCAGAGGCTTAACCAACTGAGCCACCCAGGTGCCCCCCCCCCCCACCGCCCCCAAGTAAGGCTTAAAGGAGTGAAAGGAGAAACATTTCAGGATAATTAGAAAATTAAACTAAAAATGATCTGGTCTGAGGTAATATATTTAAAGGTCTCCTATGTTTATTTTATACTAATGTGACCCATTTGCCCAAGAAATGTATACGTGTCCCTGCAGACGCCTAAGACATGCAACGATTTTGGAGGTAAATCAAAGAGAAGAATTATATCAAAGTCACGGTCTCCATCAATAAATTGGAATTGTTACTAACAGAGGCGCTAAAGGATCTCCCACTTTTTTTTTTCACTGCAATGGACAGAGTAGAACATGGGGAGCACCTGCAGGGTCGGGGGACGAAAATCAGAAAATAAGGCAGTACTCTGGTATCCTATAGCCCTCCTGCTCTTGCCGGTCCCAGTGGACTGGTGACATTCCACAAAAACATCTTGATCACAACCATTTTTTTCTTGAAAGAATTTTGGTAAGGAACATTACAAAAATTGTTTTTATCACTTTCCTCAACCTTATCTTGACAGATTAAGTACGCAGTTACTTTTGTCAGGAGACACCGGGTGGCTTACCCAGGACAGCGAAGGCAGAGAAACTTCTTCATTCAACACATGAGAGGAAATATCCCAAGAAACGCTGTTTTCTGACATAGACGGTGAAATTTGTCTTTACAAGGAAGTCGTGTTAAAGGCTGCATTCCTGTGATTTTCTTAGGTGCCTTTCAAGGCCTTTGCACAAAGCCTTGGCTCCACACCTTGTGCTTCCAGCCTCAGTGGCCCACCCTCCTGGGACTGACACATTTCTGGAATGTTTTCAGTTGGGTTTCTGAGGATTCCTGTGAGGAGGAACATTGCCCCAGTCATTTCTCAGGACAGAAATTACTGACCTTTCTGGTTTTCTATCAGAAGAAAAAAAAATGTTTTTCACATGGCTCTAATAGAGACTATTTTTGTAAAAATACATAAACAAAATTATTGGGTTTTGCGGGTACTGAGGACCCTGAGAAGCAGTGAAGAGACTTTTCAAATACCTTCACATATTTTAAAAAATGAGACTTTCTTCCATGATTTGATGACCAAGAAGTTGTGTTCTTGAGTAAGTTTGAAGTAGAAGTTTTAAAATATATTTTGAGGTGTTTTCATTTTTTTCTTCTTATTTTAATATTTTATTTTTTAATGTATTTTTATTTTCGAGAGAGGGGTGGAGGGGCAGATAGTGACGGGGGTGGAGGCTCTGAAGCAGGCTGTGTGCTTGACAGCAGAGAGCCCAACATGGGGCTTGAACCCTCGAACCTCAAGATCATGACCTGAGCAGAAGTCGGATGCATGACTGAATGAGCCACCCAGGCGCCCCTATTTTTTAAACTTCAACTTTTTCAACCTAATTTTTACTCCCCAATGTCAGGTAGAAAACTGCTTTGGTGCCTAAACATTGAGTCACCAGAAATATTTAAGAAGAAACTTGCAGTAAATGTTTAGAAAATATTTTGATGAGGGAAAAATTGATCAAAATAATTTTCTAACAACAGCAGATTTTACTGAACAGGAAAAAAATTTTTAAGTAAAATATTTATGTGAAACCTCTTAAACTTCTAAACTCTGAATAAAAGACAAGGGAGTATTTCATTCATTCATTCATTCATTCATTCATTCAAATATAGAATTTAATATTTATTTTTCTTTTATTAGGGAGAGAATTTTAAATTCTGTTACCTGTAGCTGGGTAGCTGGAGACCTCTGGTCATTAAATTGGCTGTTTTGTACATTCTTTTTTTTTTTTCTTTTTTTTTTACTTTTTTTAAATATGAAATTTATCAAATTGGTTTCCATACAACACCCAGTGCTCATCCCAACAAGTGCCCTCCTCAATGCCCATAACCCACTGTCCCCTCCCTCCCACCCCCCATCAACCCTCAGTTTGTTCTCAGTTTTTAAGTCTCTTATGGTTTGGCTCCCTCCCTCTCTAACTTTTTTTTTTCCTTCTCCTCCCCCATGGTTTTCTGTTAAGTTTCTCAGGATCCACATAAGTATGAAAACATATGGTATCTGTCTTTCTCTGTATGACTTATTTCACTTAGCATAACACTATGAAATACGGAGTTTTGCAGCAACATGGATGGAACTGTTCCGTACATTCTGAGCCTTTTCAGAATTAGCCTAAATTGAAGACAGAGCTAATTATCTCACTCATTATAATGGCTATGGTTCAGGAGATCCCTTACTGGACAGAAATCTATGCCCCTCGCCATACTTCATATCAGAATCCATGTAAATGATTTCATTAAAAGTAATGTTACTTTAGTAAGCTTACTGTATAATTCTCTTAAATCTGCCAAATGTTTCTCAAACAGGGGTGGGGCCACACAATACTTTCCGAGCTGATTAGATGAGACCAAAGGGGCGGGGCTGAGCCTCACTCCCAGCCCCACCTTCCCGCCCCCATCCTGACCAAGCTAAGGACTCACCTCCACTGTTTTTCTTAAGAGAGTCCTGGAAAAATCATCACTTCTTCCCCAAAGCTATTAATTAGAGAGTGGAGTGATTTGATAGAATTTAACACAAAATCGTTAAATCTATATTCCACTTCTTTTCTTGAAAAAAAAGCGTGGCAGAAAATACAACCAACTCTTAGAACTGATATCTACAATTATAATATGTGATTAATTGGGACCAGAAGAATTTTAAATTAGAGATTCTATTTTTTCCTATGGTTGTTTTTCCTGGCAGGAATTCCCAACCTCTCCAGTTTTCTTTGTTGAAGTTCTTGTAAAAAGAATGCTCAAAGACCACAACAGATTTCAGTAATGTTACCTCTACCTATCATTTTATTCTTCTCCCAACCTGAAATACTATTTTTTGAATTAATTTTGAAATGGAAGTTTCAAAATATTTCTGGAACATATTTCTCTTTCCTTTAAATAAGGACTTAATTTCATCCTCAGATCTTAGGTGTAAAATAACCATTTTACAAAACTTATTTTTAAGTTTACTGAAACTTTGTATGCAGAGACTTTTAACAACTATATTTGAGTTATTTCAGTGAGGACCAGTACCTTAAACAGCCTTCCAACTAATTATGAAGAATAATAGATATCCTTAAAGAAATTTTGTTTTGTTTTTTTGTTTTGTTTTGTTTTTTAATTTATTTTATTTTGAGAGACAGAGAGAGAGAGAGAACATGCTCGCACATGGGGGAGGGGCAGAGAGAGAGAGAGAGAGAGGGAGAGAGAATCCCAAGCAGGCTCCCCACCAGGGCAGAGCCTAATGCAGGGGTGGGTCCCGCAAGCTGTGAGATCATGACCTGAGCCGAAGTCTGATGCTTAACTGACTGAGCCACCCGGGCACCCCTTCTTGAAGAATTTTTTAATAGAATATTCAAATCAAATAAGTTTAAAATTCTAACAATTGCATGAGGACCAGGGAGACTGTACAATGTTTGCCACTTTGTTAATTCTCATCTTTCTCTCTTTAGTATATCAGTTATGTTCTATCTAATGCATTATAACTATTATTTGAATTATAGTTAAGTTTTTATTAAAAATTTTTGCAAGTACTCTGCAAATTACTATCAGAAATTAAAACCCTTTCGAAATAAGTACAGCATTTCAAGTTTTATTTTTTGAATATTATTATTATGATTGTGGTAAGAACACTTAACTTAATTCTTGTCTCTTTTCTTAGGTGTCCTAAGCTTCTATTTTACATGTAACTTTGGATACTTCAGCTCTCTCTGATTACTAACATCCGTTTTTGTCACATTCATCCTGCAACAGAATAAAACCAGACCATCGCAAAGGGCAGAGCCACCTCCTACCCTTTCCCACAAAGTGTAGAGATCTCTTTGGATTTACAGGAATTCATAGCCTTTGCCAAAAAACCTGCCTTTTTTCACAATGGATCGCCTATTTCCTCTACGAGTTTGGTATCTGTGCTGCGGAACTGTAAGTGAACGTCTTCCATTTTCAGAATTTTCAAAACTCAAAAAGAACAAAGGCCTTTATTTGAGGTCTCAGGCTTGCAATTCCGGGAGCAGAGGTTCCAGCAGCCACAGTACCCCACTTTTGGGGTGAAAGCAAAGAGTTTTTCTGAAAAAGAGGAAGGGGGGCAATTACATGACTTGCGTAAAAGAAGAGAAAAAAATGTCGGCTGGTACTAACAAGCTAAGTTGCTTTTGGCTACACATTGATAGATTATTCTATTGGTGTTAACAAACAAAACCGTGCCTGGTAGGCATTTCTTAACTGTTCTGTCTTCAGAAAGCCCACAGTCAGCAGTCGGATCATCAGGATGCCCCACTGACTTTACAAACAATTGCTTGTGAAACAAGTGACCCTTCTAGACCATTCAAGGGTCTTTTTGCCCGGTTCAAGGAGTTCATTAGCGTTTGTTTTAGAAAGGAAAATGGAACTTTATCTCAAAATGGACTCCGTGTCCGGGAGTTTTATACAATTCCACCACCCCGACTCCTAGAACTTGTCTAAGGCTTTTTTCCTAGGCGACTCCTTGTTCTTTGCCATCATCTCATTATCTTCCCAATATGCTGGCTGACTTCTGCATGTCTCCATACTTAAGATACTAGTTTTCATTTAGACTTTTCCATCTGCATGGGAGGAACATTTTCCCTGTACACTTCTAGGTTTTTTTGGCTGGTCTGAGAATTAAACTGGCATAAAACAGATTAACAAACAAAACTTTAATTTCATATGTACAGGAGCCCCATAAAAATACAGATCCAAGGGCAAGTCGGGCAGTTGAGGCTTCTATGCCATCCTGAGCCAAGGACTGGGGCTTCAAAGGGGAGGAGGGTAATTCACAGGACTGTAGAAGAATAGATGTTTGGTAATTAGATGTTTGCCCTGCCACAGGGGAAGGTCATTCAGATAAACATAATCTGTGGTAATAGCTCTGTTTCTAGACCAGGCCCCCTAGCTAAATTCCTTTAGGTAGTTAAGGGAGAGGTAAAAAGTTTTTCTTCAATCTGCTGGGTTTTGATTGCCTTCAGGTCAAAATAATCCTTATGCCAAAGTGATATATTTTGGGGTCACATATTCTGTTCCTCTTCACATCTTTCTAACTTAACTATTTCCAATGGGAATATTATCAAAAGATTGTATCTCATCCGAGAACTTTCTCTGAAAAGCTGTTTCCGAGATAAAATATTTATTTAATTACACAAACACAAAGGTATATCAGTAGAACATGAGAAGACAAAGTAACTCCTTAAAACTGAAAAAAAAAAAAAAAGGATGTGATTGTTTTTCTTTCTCTTTAGTTCATACTCCTCTTGGCCACCTGGCAAAGCCTCAGTGTTCCCTCCCCCACAGCTCACATTCTGGCTACCAACCTTCATCTTCTCTCCCCCACCCCCCTTTCCCTTTTTCTTTCCCTTTCTAATGTGGATGATGCTATCTCCCCTCATTTGATAGTGTTAACTCTAAATTCTTAGTCCATTCACGCAGTTGTGGGAAAACTGTCATCCCACATCAGCTTACCAAGTGTATTCGTTTCCTAGGCTGCCATAGCAAATAACCACAAATTCAATGGCTTAAAACAAGAATGATTTCCTCACAGTTTGGGAGATCAGAAGTCTGAAATCCAGGTGTTGGCAGAGCCCTGTTCCCTCCAAAGCCTCTGGGGGACAGTGCACTGCATGGCTCTTTCCATCTTCTGGTGGCTCTGAGAATTCCTTAGCTGAAGGCCACTTCAATTTCTGTCTCCATGGTACTTTGCCTCTTCCTTTTCTCGCTGTATGTCTCTCCTATGTGTGTGTTTTATAAGGACACTTGTCACTGGATTTAGAGCCCGTCCAGATAATCCAAGATGATCTTTTCATCTCAAAATCCCTAACTTAATGATATCGATAAACACCTTTTCCTCAAATAAGGGCACATTCACAGGTTATGGGAATTAGGAAGTGGGCATATCTTTTGGGGACCACTGTTCAACTCATTACAGTGTGAATATTAGTCCCTTGTAATGAAAGGGCGGGCCTACGCCGGCCGAATCCATCTTGTTCTGTGTCCTTCACCTTGACCACACCTCCTCCCCTTGAGTAACCCCCCCCTTACCTGCCTAACAGGACTCGGACCCTTCCCCAGGACCCTTCCCCAGCCAATCGGCTGAGGTCATAGCCATTACCTCACCAACTGCCCCTAGGCCCCAATAAAACCTTTGTCCTTTTGAAACTCGCTCTTTCCCTGGTATCCCACTGCTGCATCGGTGCAGGTAGGGGATTGAGCTCGAGCTAGCTCGAATAAAGGCTCTTTGCTTTTGCATCGGACTCAGCTCCCTAGTGGTCTTTGGGGATCATGAATTCTGGGCATAACAGTAAGTGTCAGGCTCCTTGCAACAAAATGAAAAGTTATGGTTCATTTAGCTTAGCTTCCCATACATTTAAAATAATTTAGTACTAAGTATGAAAAAAAAAAAAAGAGTGATCTACTGCCCTCATGTCCAGAGAGTCAGTCTGAGAGGCCTGAGAAAATTGAAACTTAAAAGCTTAAGTTACGGGAAACTGAAACCTAACCAAGCTTAACCAGCTTGTTCCGCTTCTGTACAATTGCTTGGCGCGCCCATGTATTCCTGATCAATCATTATTGCCTGGCACATGCGTATATTCTTGATCAACCATTGTTACTTGGCACATCCATGTACTCCTGATCAATCAATCATTGTTGCTTGGCACATCCGTGTATTCCTGATCAATCATTGTGATACCCGTACCCCCGGTTGTGGTCTGACCTAAAGGCAGGAACCAATCGAATACTGTTAAGTGTCCAACTTTAACGTTTATTTATTTTTTGGGGGGACAGAGAGAGACAGAGCATGAATGGGGGAGGGGCAGAGAGAGAGGGAGACACAGAATCGGAAACAGGCTCCAGGCTCTGAGCCATCAGCCCAGAGCCTGACGCGGGGCTCAAACTCACGGACCGCGAGATCGTGACCTGGCTGAAGTCGGACGCTTTAACCGACTGCGCCACCCAGGCGCCCCAAGTGTCCAACTTTAAACACCAACCAATCGCAGCTCTGTAACTGTGGAAAATTCCTGATTTCCCCATGACTTGTTTGTACCTGTCTATAAAAGGGGTGTAAAAACCTCTCTCAGGGCCTCTTGGCGTCACCGGCAACGGGGGCTCAGAGGTCCAGGTTCGAACCTGCAATAAATGACCCTTGCTGCTTAGCTTTGACTCTGGACTCTGGTGGTTTGTTTTTGGGGGTCTCTTAGACTCTGGGCGTTTCAAGTCCATAAATGATTCTTTGGCCAATTGCTGTTCAATTTCTAGAACACAAAATATCTTCATTTTAAAAGTAAATGTCAATTCTTTGTTATACATGATGCAAACATTTGCCAGGTACAATGAGACAAGAGCATTCATATTGGACTTTTTTAACAATAGCAACAATATATCTTCTGAGGTTCAAATCTTGAGGAAAGGCAAATAGAAGTATATAAAACCCCAGTAGAGGCACTAATAACAATTCAGACGTTCATCAGGAATTGGGACACCTGGGTGGCTCAGTCAGTTAAACATCCGACTTCAGCTCAGGTCATGATCTCAGCTATGCTGACAGCTCAGAGCCTGGAGCCTGCTTCAGATTCTGTGTCTCCTTCTCTCTCTCTGCCCCTCCCCTGCTCACCCTCTGTCTGTCTGTCTCTCTCAAAAATAAACAAACATTTAAAAAAAGTTCATAAGGAATATATCCTTCGTTATGAAATCTTTTGTTGAAATGAAAAATTATGAAAACTATTTTTTGGTAAAAACTATGTTTTATTCTCTCTGCATTTGTCATGTGTCTTCATGTCATTAACACTGAGTTCCAACCATTACTAAACTTTTATTGTACAGTCATATTATAATTTGGATTAAAAAAATTAATGTTTATTTTTGAGAGAGAGAGACAGACAGAGTGTGAGCAGGGGAGGGGCAGAGAGAGAGGGAGGCACAGAATCCGAAATAGGCTCCAGGCTCTGAGCTGTCAGCACAGAGCCCAACGTGGGGCTCGAACTCACAGACTGAAAGATCATGACCTGAGCTGAAGTCAGGCACCTTACCAACTGAGTCACCCAGGCACCCAGGTATTGTTGTTGTTGTTAACATCACTAAAGACACAAATCTGAGAAGAAAGGCTTGATCATTACAGTAAAATAATTTTTAAAAAAAATGTATAAAAAGAATATGAGGATAATAGTTATTTGAATTAGATTTTTGTGTTATTTTCTAATTCCTCCTTAGACTGTTTAGCTGTTGTGATATTGAAATTTATAAAAATATAATTGGTCATTCAGATGACCAAAATCTCTTCCTCATATATATGTGTTCATTGTCCACAGTTCCTGGCTCACGGTTCCTTGGAATTTCCTGAGTGATAAGAGCACTGGGAGCATCTTTTGTCATCATATTTGGTCTCTTGGCTTCAGTTCCTGAAATTGCTTCAGAGCCGTAGAGGTGAAATGGGTGTCTTATTATTCATAACAAGCTCTTTTCCACCACAGCTGGATTTGTGTCAGTGAGGTGACTTGGAGGACACGTAAGGATGGGGCTGGTTGCCAGGGAAACCAACCATCAATCCCACCCCAGCCTCCTGATTGCCAGGGAGGGAAGAAGGGTTGGAGGTTGAACCAATCACCAATGATCAATGATTTATTCAATTATGCCTATGTAATGAAGCCTGCATAAAAACCTAAAAAGAAGGGGTCCATAGGGTTTCCATGTGCCACGATGCCAGGCCCCAAACTCTACAAGGATAGGAGCTCCTTTGTTCAGGGCCTTACTCTATGTTTCTCTCTGTCTGGCTATTGATTCGTATCCTTTGATATCCATTGTAATTAATCAGTAATCTAGTGAGTAAACAGGTTTTTCTGAGTTCCATGAGCTGCTCTAGCAAATTAATGGAACCCAAGGAGGAGGTCATGGGAACCTCTGATTTATGGCCAGTTAGAAGTACCCGTAACAACCTGGACTTGACAATGGCATCCTAAGTTGGAGAGGGGTTGCCGGAACCTCCCAATTTGTCGCCGTAGGTCAGAAGCACAGGTAACTGAGCCTTTTACTTGTGGGATCTGACGCTATCTCTGGGTGAACACTGCCAGAACTGAACTGTCAGACACCCTTTCACTCTTTCTGCTCTCCCGCAGGGGCCCTGGGAACATTTCTCAGGTGTTTGGGTGAAACCATTCTAGCAAGACCAATGCAGCAGACTTGCCCCACCCATATCTGTATTCTTTAACAAAGCTAATGACCCTCCTCCATTTTTAGGTAACAAACCAACATCGAGTACTTCCTGCGAGCCAGGCTCTCTGTAAATATTTTAGACGTGGAGCCTGGCTTAATCCCAGCGGCACCACAGAGATAAGTATGATCTCCCCTTTTACAAACGAGGGCGGCAAGACACTGAGACAGCTCTTTTCAACAAACAGAACATGCTGGTGGAGCCAGATGGAATTCAGTCTGCTTGACTGGAAGTTTGTACATACAAACAATTCACTGTATAATGGTAGCTGTCCAAATTTAAATATATATGCTAACTTTCTGGATTTTGACAAGTAATGTTATTAGAAACCTGCTAACACAGAAACTTTTTTCTTTTTCTTTAAAGTTTGTTTATTTTGAGAGAGAGAGAGTGCAAGTGTGAGCAGGGGAGGGGCAGAGAGAGGGGGAGAGAGAGAGAATCCTAAAGCAGGCTCCGTTGGGCTTCAGCACAGAGCCCAACACAGGGCTTGATGCCACAAACTGTGACATCATGACCCGAGCCCAAATCAAGAGTCAGATGCTCAACCGGCTGAGCCACTCAGGGCACCCCCAGAAACTGTTTTCTAGCATGTAAATCTCTATGGGAACTGATGAGCCTCTCATACACCTCAATTAAATTCTTTGTGTGATTTGGACAGTTTAAAAGTTACTTCAACTTTGGAAATTAAGGGTTTCAAAATTTTATCATCATCATTTCATTTCATAACCCTCTTTCCATTCTCTCTTTAGCAAGAATCATGTAAAAACCTGATGAAAGTTTTATCTTATTGAAAGATTTTTAATTTAAAAAAAAATTTTTTTTAACGTTTATTTATTTTTGAAACAGAGACAGCATGAACGGGGGAGGGGCAGAGAGAGAGGGAGACACAGAATCCGAAACAGGCTCCAGGCTCTGAGCCATCAGCCCAGAGCCCGACGCAGGGCTCAAACTCATGGACCTCGAGACTGTGACCTGAGCTGAAGTCAGACGCTTAACCGACTGAGCCACCCAGGCGCCCCAATTTTTTTTTTTTTTTTTTTACTTAAAAGTATAGAAAGCGATTTCTGTGAAGAATTAAAACCTAAAAGTAAAAAATTTTGTGTTTCATTAAATGTGAATTAGGGGCGCCGGGGTGGCTCAGTTAAGTATCCAACTTCAGCTCAGGTCATGATCTCACACTCTGAGTTTGAGCCCCACATTGGGCTCTGTGCTGACAGCTCAGAGCCTGGAGCCTGCTTTGGATTCCATGTTTCCCTCTCTTTCTGCCCCTCCCCACTCCTGCTCTGTCCTCTCTCTCTCCCTCAAATATAAATAAACATTTAAAAAAATGGTGAATTACTTATGAAATCATTTTTGAAGGAGGTTAATATAGAAGAGGTAGGACTTTTATACTTGTTTGAGGCCCTCCATGAATTTAGTGCCAATCCTACAGGATGCCAGCGGGGAAGTCTTCTGCTCATCTCACTATGGTAGCTGGCAATTTAAGAATCCAGCCCCATTAGGCCTTTGGTATTTTTGCATTATTGGCCATCTTATAGTTACCATTATTGAGAGACTCCCATGAATCAGGCACTGGCCAAATTCATTACTTTTTAATCTCATGGAATCCTTCCCACACTCAGAAGTAGCTGTCATCACCATTTTTCAGATGAAGAAACTGGGACTCACTAGTAATAGATCACATGTATTGAGCATTCGTGTATTTGACCAGGTCGCCTTGCAATTGTGACCTCATTTAATACTCAACAATCCTGTATTTCACAGATGAGGAAATTGAGACTCAAAGAGTTTGTTAACTTGGCCACAGTCGGAAAACGAATGCATAGCGAAGCCAAGATTCTTCAGGCCCTTGCTCCTGGAAAAGGAGGGAGGGAGGACAGTGGCCACCATGTAATGCAAAGTGTGAATTTCCCCACCCAGGAAAGATGGTGGGCTGAGGTAAGTCATGACAGCCATCTTTGCAATGCTCAGAAGTTGTCCTGAGGAAAAGGAAGTTGATCTCTTCAGGGTGGCCCCAAGAGGGCAGAGCTGTCATCCCAAGGCCTGACTTCCCTCTTACTGAAGGAAGAATTTTAACTCAACAGCTGACAAGGAGTGGTTTCAGCAAGAAGTGGACTCCTTTTCGGGGCGCCTGGGTGGCGCAGTCGGTTAAGCGTCCGACTTCAGCCAGGTCACGATCTCGCGGTCCGTGAGTTCGAGCCCCGCGTCAGGCTCTGGGCTGATGGCTCAGAGCCTGGAGCCTGTTTCCGATTCTGTGCCTCCCTCTCTCTCTGCCCCTTCCCCGTTCATGCTCTGTCTCTCTCTGTCCCAAAAATAAATAAACATTGAAAAAAAAATTTTTTTTTAAAAAGAAGTGGACTCCTTTCCACTGACATGTGGTTCTCCACTTTTAACCTGCTCACTGATCACCCAGGAGCTTGTTTTTACAAAACACATACTCAAGACCTTTTTCCAGGGATTCTCAGTAAGTGTGGAGCAGGACCCTGGGTGAACCTGTCCCAGGAGGTCAACACTAGGATACTGAAGAGGCAACACGTGGCAACCCTACTATTAAAGAGGGGATTCCTTCATTATAGGGGAGGTTGGACTGGATGATCCCTAAGTTACCTTCAGAGTCACTGAAACCAGAACCGTAAAAATAAAATGCTGAGCTGCTAGGAACTAGGATTGGCTGGAAACTTCTGTGAGCTAAGGGCTCCACTTGATAAAAATAGCTGTATCGCCATCTGGTGGACTGCCTAAAAAGTCTTTATTTGCACTCCTTTATCCTAAAACCATAGCATGATTTTTTTTTTTTTTTTAATTCTGATGCCCTTCACTTTACAAACCAGGAATCAGACTCAGAAAGGCTAGAGCCTACGCCCCACATCCAGCCAGCAATCCCCAGTGTACTGCTTCCCGTAGGCTTGAATTGCACAAGACTGATCCTAGGCTTATCAATCACAAAATGTTCCAAGTTTTTCCTCCAGCAAGCAGTTAGGAGAAGGTTTAAGTTTTAGACAGCTGTCACGATGCAACAAAGTCTCCAGATACTTTAGTACTATATCTCTCAAAGGATGGGGCACTGCATTAAAAATGCAGAATTCTTGGCTCTATCTCATGTGCACACCTATAGACTGACAGTTGGTCGGTGGATGCTTCACAGCCTGCGGGATCTCTCCAACCTAACCAGGTCCCAAACAGAAACCTCACATGTGTGCATCTGATTAGCAAAACCGAAATCACTTCTGAATCTCTGGCCACGGTTTAACGAGGGAGATGTAGTGTTCGCGTTCAATGTCGTTTCTCACTTTCCAGCTTCTGCAACCCCGGAAAGGCATCTTAGGGGAAAAGAAAAGCAAAGCAAAAGTTGGGAGAGATGCTGAGAAAACCAATCAGAATCTTATATATCTATCCCCCTT